CTGTGAAGTAATAAATGTTCCGTACAGAGAGGCTGTAGGATATGCCTGATGTTCTTGGCAATTGCAACTCGATCGGATATTGCCTACGCGGTGAGTTATGCATCACAATTTCTGGAGGAACCGAAACGGAATCATTGGGCGATAATTAAGCAAATCTTCAAGTACATCAGAAGCACAAAGAGTCTAGGAATTTACTACAAAGTTGCTGAGAGGACCGGTGAATTGGAAGCTTTCAGCGACGCTGATTATGCCAGCGATGTAACTACCCAAAGATCAGTCAGCGGAATCATCCTTAGATACAGTGGAGGAGCAGTTATTTGGGCGAGCAGACGACAAGAGTGTGTATCTCTCTCAACCACGGAGGTGGAATACGTTGCCTCTAGTGAAGCAACAAAAGACATTGTATAGTTAACTCGGTTGTTTAATGAAATCTCGCCCTTTAAAAACTCTACCTGTACTTTTAGTTGACAATGCTAGTGCTATAAAGCTCGCCAAAAACCTCGTATCTCACAAACGGTCGAAGCACATAGATGTGCGATTTCATTTTGTACGCGAGTGTTATCAAAATGGACAACTGGATACTGAACATGTACCTGGTAGTGATCAATTGATATTCTCACTAAGCCAATTGCGCGCGTGCAATTTGAGCGTTTACGTAAAATGTTAGGTATTACTACATACTAAAGGATTTTGTACTAACATTAAGGATTAGAGTTAAGGTTTCTTTTGTTTAACAGGCAGAGATATAAGTGCATTTTTCTTGTCTTTTACGTAAGCAAAGTTGTTTGAAGAATTTAAAGTTTTAGAGGAAGTGTTGAGATAAAAACTTTTAATTTGGGTATTGCCAGCCTGTCTGCCTAGTAACATTTTTCGTTTCTAAAGTTAGTTCTATTTGCTTCTTATGTGTTAGTCTTTTTTTTTTCGTAACTAGTCAGTTATCCGTCTGAACGGAAGTCTTCTCGTGAGTCTCTGTCGTCTTCGTATTGCGTGCGAACACGGAACGTTTTGTAACCCCTTTCTCAAGAATAAAAACTTAACAATAACTATTAAGAAGACATCATTCCTCAGGTAATAAATTAATGTAATTTGTAATCATTTCTACTTTTTGTCTTAATGTGAATATTTCTAAAGATACTTTTAAAGGACAATATTTCTTTCAATTTTTTAAAAATAAAATAATATTTTACTTAAATAATTAAATCTATATAACGAAATCTGAGCAATCATAGCGCAGAGAGTTATGCGTCTGCTTTTTCTGTGCTAAAGACTTGAGTTCAAATTACAGGAATCAAAGTTCGGAATTACAAGGATAATATTTTTGTTTACGAATTTGCGGATATTTTAATAATTTAATTTTAATAGTAAAGTAAAATGTTATAAGTTATTGAAAAGACTTTATTTGGACGACCTCAAAACGTCGTGAAAATAACGTTTTTAACTGTTCTAAATAATAACGTCTTATAAACATTCATTAATAGTCGTCGACATCATAGACCAAGAAATGACCACACATAGACGTCATCTTTTGACATCAGTCTGCTACTTGGGAATATTGCAATAGATTAGCATCCATTATGTCTGCTTAAATTTCTGTTCTGCCAGCAAAGTCTACCAACATAATAATATTATGCCAGTAGAAATCGAGCATTTACCATCTCGCAATAATTTAAAAATAGTTACAAAATGGTAAATTCTGCTCATCTTTTGGAATCAATCAGTTATCATATTCTATTAGCAGATTCTGTTATATTTCTGCTGAATTCTGTTGATGAAATTTGTAATAAACTCTTTACGAAATTTATTTTCTATAGATTTGAATATCTGGATAACATTTTGCGATCAAAGATTAAAGCTGCATAATATTTAAAAATGAGTGAAAGAATGTATGCTTGTTTTATTATGAAATTGAAATCCATTTCTCTCTCTTTGGAAAAATAGATTCATGCATACATATATAAAAATTAAAAACCAAACTGATGAAATATGAATACTGAGAATTGACTCCAAATGTCTATATGAATAAATAAAATATATCTCATATATCTTACAAAATCAAAACATAAAAACGCAGCTCGCATACGAGAGATCGGAGATGCCCCTTTGAAGAAAGCCTTAGAACATCTTGGTGGCTGGCCGGCGGTGATGGGTACGTCTTGGAGGCCACCATCTTATCCATTGGAAGTTCTCCTAGGTCGTCTACGGGGCGAATACAACATGGGCGTCTTACTGGAGCAATGGGTCGGTCCAGACGATAAGAATTCCTCAGCCAACATCCTCCAGGTGCGCCGGCAAAGTAAGGTCCCGTCAATCGACGGCAACATATCAACGCCCTAATGAACGGAAGTCGTTTAAATTTTACCTGGACTTTATTTTATTAAAAAGATTGCCATTATTGTAAATTAAAAATAATTATGTTCTTTTTATTTTTTTAAGTAATCTTTCTTCTTCAGAATATATTTTTGTCATCCAAAAATTAATTACAATAAAACGAGCTGTTATATCGTAAAGCTTATATTATAAGAATAATACGTAATATATATTGCAAGAGTTTAACACAATTTTAATTAGGTATGACTTTAGAAAAAAATGTAAATAGAAAGGACTCAGGCTCCGAAGAATAAATCAGAAATGATAAAGTAATGCTAATGCGAGCCGACACAGATATTAGTGTGTATAATAATTTTTATTGTTACAATATCCAGCCATATACAAATGCGCCGCACTGTTTTGTCGGTCTTAAAACACAGTCCTTTACATATAACCGGAATCCTGTAACGAATGAAATTAAATAAGCATTTAATATTTTTAATGCTAACAAGCATCTGTAAGAATCCTCCCAGACCAAATCAATTCATTACAGTTTCGGCTGTATGTAAAGGATTATCTCGACAAAATTATCTTTTTAAAAAAAGGTAAAGAAGGCGCTAAGTGTGTATGAAAAAACTCTCTATAAAAAAACTGTTATATCAAGTTATAATCCTAAAAAAATTGCGTTTTCTTATTCAACTCAAGTGATTCTTTGTATCAGTTATATTAAAGATTTGATATCAATAACTGGCGCCAAGTTAATAAATCTCACAATTCATATGCGATATTCTGACATATATGATATTCTGGCATTCGTTTCCACAAAGTATTTTTGAACATAATATGTATATTAAAATAGAGTGAAAAATATAATCACAAAAAATTAAAGAGGTAACAGTAAAAAAACGAAATAATTTAATTTAAATGCTAAAATTTTTTATGTAAAAATACATGGCGCTGCTAGACATCAAAATACATCAAGATAGTAAAAACATCAATATTTTAAACTGATAATGCAGACAGGAATCAAAATATCTCGTGTGAAAAACATAACGTTTCTACAGCTTACAACGTATATTTTCATTAATATACAGCATGTGGTAAACACTAGAACAAAGCTTTGGAACGAACGAAAGAGGAAGTAACATAGAAGTGCCCCCGATAGGCAATTATCTACATTTTATGAGTGCAATGAGACAGGGACTTTAGATCGCGCGCAGTACCAATACTCTCCCTCAAGATATAAAAAATCTTATGAGTCTAAGCACGAATTTCTCATCCTATACAGCTTTAAACAAACTTGAAATGCTTTCCTTTGGATAGCTCTTTCGTCATCAGATCCACCAACATGTCCTCCGTGGACAGGTGTTGAATATCAATTTTTTGGTCTCTTAGAGCCTCTCAGAAATGGTGTCGAATGTCAATATGCTTGCTGTGTGTATGGTAAGCCGCGTTTTCCGCGAGCTTCTTGGCTCCAATGTTATCGTCCAACAGCGTTCCATCAGCAAGTTCCTCAAATCCTAATTCTGCAAGGAATTCCTTCAAATAGATCGTCTCCTTGGTGGCCTCAAGGCCGGCCATATATCGGCCTCTGTTGAGGACAAGACTACAGATGTCTGCTTTTTAGAATCCCATGAGACTGATCCATCGTTTAGCAGGAAAATGTATCCGGTTGCCTGTCTATGGGGCAATTCCCCCAATCCGACAAACCGTGCGGTGCGCAGTTCGTGTGTTAGATGGATATTGTAACAATAAAAATTTCACACACCAACATCCGTATTGGCTCCTATTGGCAATTATTTCACTATATTTGATTTATTCCTTGGAGCCTATTTCTTCTATTTAATTTAAATTCTTCAGAATACGTTGCTGGATCACATTCAGAAAAACCTACAAAAACGACATCTTTCTACACTGTAACATTTCTCTCCTGGGTCAATCACATTCTATAATCCTTCGACGATTCTAAGTATCTTAAGAAGATTGCTGGTTTATCCCGTGAGTCAAGCTTTCTTTTAGTTAGTCTGTGTCTATACAGAATGCTTTGGATTCTCCGAACTCCTAGAAATAGGACACGTTTGGCTTCGTTCCGATCTATACCTCGTAGAGAGTCCTTCCACTTAGACTGGAACTTGGGGTTCCATTTCTGATGTAGTTGGCAGTTGAGATCGTCTCAACTCAAAACGACGCGTCGTTGCAATCCCGATTGCAACAACAGATCTCTTGCCGTATCTAACAGGATTCTTTCATTCGACGGTGCCATTCTGTTCCGGATGGTACGGCAGTGAGAATCTTTTGAAGTTTCCATGATCGGAAATGAAGACGTCAAATTCGAAATTCTTGTACTCCCTTCCATTGTTTGACTAGAGATACATGATTTTTCCATCTTTCACATTCTCGATCTTGTATTTCTTGAACACGCCAAATACTTCACTCTTTATCTTTAAAAATCATATTATTTAGAATGGTCATCGATAAAAGTGACAAAGTATTTGGTTCATCCGAGCGATTTAATACGTATGGGACCGCACACATTGGAGTAAATAATTTTCAGCAGCTACCCTGCCGAAAATGTTCGATTAAAACCGATTATAAAAAAAAGTTATCCGAATCGATCGGGATTTCTGCACCGAAAATACGGTATCAAAAAGGATTAAAATCATTCAAATCGGATATAATTCACTTTAGACTGATTAGTATCAGGTGATAGGAATCTATGTCAATCTAAACTTCGACGATTGCTTGTACAAAAAAAGCAATCAATCAAAAATTTACTGATTGATATATGAATATATCATGTCAAAATTAAA